AACCATAATAGTAAAGATAGTTTATTATTATCTCATAAGTTCCAATATAAGTTAAAAAGGAAAACTATGATAACTAGTCATTACATTCCAAGTTTCTAACGACTCGATGTGTTTATTGAAATAAATAATACTAACTTTCTTCAACATAAGCAAAATTAACATATATAATATGGCTAGTTGGCTTTTCTATATACCAATTTCAAATCAACGTAAGTGAAATTAACATATAACTAACGCCCTTAGTAAAATTAAGTATTCAAATTCATGACTTACATCAAAGAATCCATGAGTTTAACGCTTACCCCATGATACAACGAAAACTACAGGCCAAGATGCAATAATACATCATGTAATATGACACTTACAATCATTATTATTATGAAAGACTAAACACAGTACGCTAATGTTATATGATTGAGAAATTATAAGGCGTTGATGAGATATCTATGCTGAGAGGTGAAAAAAGCCTTACATGTTATAGTACATAGTCAGCAAAATGCCTGGGTCCAAAAGCGAAGGCTCCAGTTGACAGTTGAGTAGCTAACAACAAAAGTGTGAAAGTTGTTTGCCTTTACAAATATGGCACGCGATTGTTTACTACTACTATTACTACGACTACCACTACTACTACATCAGCTTCCAGCTCGGACGCGTGATCCGAACATCCGAGCTTTTTTTTGTGCCATGGCTAGGTCACTATCTTTATGAACCATGACGCACACACCGGAAGTAATGTTGTGGATTCGTTTCGAGAACCAACCAAACGCACTCAAGTACAGAGCCAAACCTGAGGACAGCGATATTGCCGATCTCGCGTACCGTCTTATAGTGGAGAACAAAAGGCTCAAAGACGCCGCCCCAGACAACATCCAGATCCTCCTCAATGATCAGCTACAGAGGCCGGACACTCGCCTCGTGGATATCGAAACAACTGCCACGGCACCGCTCATTATAAGATACCCGCTGTCAGAGAAGACAGGTAATCTGAAACCGACCTTCTTTTTAATGCGAAAAAAAAAGCTTTGTTCACTCACTTTTCTCGGTTATAGTCATAATTCGATGTTTCTTCCAGCAGTTTCTCTTGTTCGAGCACCAATTTCAGCATTCAACTGGTATTTGGGATCAATTGTGTGCTCTCGTTCGCGAGAATGAGAACCAGCTGGAAGAAATCGATAAAAGTAAAATTTTCTTCTGTACCACCGGCAAGAAACACGGAGGGCAGGAACTCACGAACATTTTCGAATTGAACCATTTCTTGAGTCGTCTTCCTGCGGACGATCATGAGGTCGGAGCAAGCTTGTCAGTGCGTATTAAAGGTTTGTTCCCAAATTTGGACCGCCGATGATCGTACCTAATAAATAAGGAATTGAATTTCTTCTTAGATCATTGTCAGAATAGGAAGCTTTTTATCGAGGTGTCCTTTTTTCGAATGGGAATGAATACTTAAAGTATTTTCATTATTGGCAGGACGAAAGTCATATTCAGAGTGGAAATTTTATGACATCACTAAGACCATCTTCGGAAAAGGGTTCGACGACCTAGGAGGTTTTCCATGTTTCGACCCAGGTACGGTTAATTGCGTTTCCTACATTGTTTCTGATATAGTAATAGTTCTTGTCCATTTCTGTGATAGACGAAATCCCTAAACCAACCAGCGAGATTTGCACGGAAACCGTGAACGGATTTTTCGTGGAAATCCGGAGAAAACTAAAAGCATTTCGTGCAATTGATAACGAGCTTGTTACTCGAGAGTTTATCTCGCCATTCCTGACGACAGCAGTGGAATGTGTACAAAAGAATGAGCCGTCGCTGCTGCTCCGTGCGGAAAAGCCTCTGGTAGGAAGCCGCGGGTATGGTCCCGTGGATTTCTCTGTTGAAAGAGATGGTGTGATCATTCTGGTTACAGTAGTGAAAAAGGAACAGTTTGGGCAAGGAGCTGCCCAAAACCTTGCCCAGTTGCATAGTATGGTCGAGGTGAGGAAATTTTTCGTTCAGACTTGCTTCAGTTTTTATTAAAAATATTACGTTCAGACTTGTATTAAAAAATTACGTTCAGACTTGTTTCAGTTTTTATTAAAAATATTTAATTCATTGCACCTTTACACCTTATTTTTTCAAGACGTTGGAGAAAAAACGCAAGCTCGATCATACAGACTTTGAAGACGATGATAGTCTTCCAGTCATCGCATATGGCATTGTGACAAGTGCACGTGAGTGGATGTTTCTCCTCTGGGCAGGTGACTCTTCGAAACCAACAGTTCAACACACCCCACAACTCCCTTGCCCGTTCGATGGTGATCTTTCTCGTGCAAAGGCCATTCTGGAAAAAATTGTTAGAATTCTTGATTCTCAAAACATTGGCTTGAATGATTCTTCTAGAAGAATGAAAATTAAAAAATGCCGCATTGATTGATGATTGTCTAACCGGGTTTTTATTAAAAAAGTAAAATCCAAAAAGTTGGGCTGATTTCAAACTTATATATTTAAGGCTGTTTATTATTATTGGATTAATGATTTTATCTATTGAGTACGCAGAAAAAAAAACCAAACTTTGACATAAACTCAACCTCTGCCAAATTCATTTAGCTAAATATGCACTTTGTTTGGTTTTATTGCAGCATGCCCCACACACATTTTGTATTAAGCAAAACTTGTGGATTTTGTGGTTATATTCATAGACAAGTAGGTGAATCTAAAGTGTTTTGCTGTCCTCAATGTAAAACAATTAACGATGCTCGCAATATTCTTCTTCGATATCTTGCAAAAAAAAAAAAGAGTCAGTACCGCTTAGGCTGACGCGGGAGCCTATTCCCTTACAGGGCTTGTTATTACCCAATTTAGGCTTTGCTTAATGTGGAGTTTTATTAATAAGTAGGTTTAATGTAGACGTAATACATATGTGGTATTCGGCATGTTAATGCGTTGTTAATTCTACCGTGCAGTGCAATAGTATAATAAGAGCGTCGTTTCCACGTTTTCTTACCAGTGAAAGTTTGAATTGAACAGATGTTCTGCATCTACTAGTGTATTAGTATGCGTATAAATGTAAATCTACAATAAAATCAGTGCGCAATTTTAATTTCATTTTTAGATCTGCACGGTACGGTGTAACACTCACACAAACACATTCTCGCATTAGAGGCGAAAAAGTTGCATACTAAACAGTGTAACACACACCCCTTAGCAAACCTGCTTGTAACCGGTTTTTTGGGACAAATCACGGGATTCATATTTCTCGACACGGTTTTTCAATTGATATCTTTGCCTTTCAACTCTAATTACGCGAAGAGACTATGCTCGAACTAGAGAATGAACTACCTTGTGTAGCGCTACGCTCACCTAATTTTTCGCAAACCAAATACTCGAGAACAGGCGTTCGCTCTCCAACCTCTCCCTCTCCTGGTACACCCCGCTCGCTTTCGCCTTTATCTAGACAAATATGTACGCCTCCCCCGATCCTACCAGATTCAAGAGGACTTTTCGGTTCACCTGTACAGCCACGTTCGCCGAATGTCTCTGGGAGTGTGTCTTACACAATGAAAATAATAAGAATTTATAGGTGTATGTACTTTGAGGTTAAGCGCATGTGTTCGCTTGATAGTGTATGAACGAAATGAAAGTGTATGAATGAAATGAAAGTACACATACAATTGGAGGAGCGTTGAGTTCGTGGGTTAATTAGAATAATTGCAATGACAAGAACGAATACCAAGCACTTTGAACAATGCTGGATTCAAATTGATTTTTGATCAATTGTAGACCCTGCGGATAACAAGTTCAGACGAATGTTTGAAGATTGGGATCGTAATGAGCAAGACATATATGACATCATTGTTACAGATGGGATAATAAAGGTAATTGTAATAAGTTTTTGCAATTAATGCATTACGTTTTTATTTTTTCTCAGCAACTCTGCCTTTATATTGCAACAGGACAAGGTCCTTCTCCATACGCATTACAACAGACTAGTACGAACGTCAAAATTGAAAGAGAATTCTTGCATCGGGGTATGTTGGATTCATGAAACATGTCTATAGATATATGCGTATGCACGTCTCTTTATGCACAATTCATTGCTTTTTGTATAGATCTACAAATATGCTGTGCGAACAATATCGTCTCCACACACTGGGCGAAAAGAGAAGATCCACATTATAAACAAAATTTCAACAATATTCGACGATGAGGACACCCTTGTTTGTGATGAATCGGTATTTGTAGTCTACAACCAGTTCAATGCTTTTTCTTTACGGGGACAGTAACCGATTAGTAATTTGGCTATTCTACCACGGTAGTCATTAGAATGGTTGTACCCATCAATCCAGCAATTTATCCCATTGGCAGCACATAGGAAATGCTACTTTTCTCTCCGCAACGACGATTTTCTTCGCGAGGATCCAAGATGGAATGTAGACATTACGATGGATAATGTTGTTATCAATTACTTTTAAATGTTTATTTTCGCAACTGGTCAAATTACCTGACAAACGACCTCAATTCTTTTCTATGCTATATCAGGATTTCCGCCTTCCTCTCACTTATCCAACAATCCATAATGTAATAGTCACCAACCATGGTACTTTCCCTCCGATCTCCACTTACTCTAAACAACCCATGGTTGGGCGTGTCATTTCCAAGACGTCGATGCAGAATTTCTCACGCCCAACAGACTACAGAATCGAATATCCATGGAAGTTTTCGTTCGAAATACAAGACTGTTCCCACAAGTTGACCGTGACTGTCTGGAATGAGAAAGCATTGGAGATATTTAATAGTGTCAAAGTCGGATGCTTGGTCTGGTTGAACGACTATTGTTTAAAGAGAATAATGACAAAGGACCGGCGTATTGCTGGAAAAGGTGTGGAGGTGGCTATTAATCCTAGAGATCCTGAAGGGGATGTAAGAATACTTGGGGGTAAGTTGGGGAAATGAGAATAGACGGGAATATTGCAAAGCAATGTATGTGGTTTCAGTTGACATTCTCGAAACATGTATACTCATAACGAGATTTATATTTGTATGAATTTCTTTCGTCCGTTTCTGTATAGACCATAATCTTGAAGGCTGGTCCGACGCAAATAAGAAAGCCAGGTTTCCGCCTATTGAAGTGTGTTTCATACAGAGTGTTCACCACTATCGTACGCCTGATGGTTATCCCGAGTTTGATTTGATCGGCCGTGTCATATACGTCGGTCGGTTAGAACAAGTCAAAGGTGAGACGTAAGTATCTTTATTTTTGATGATACAATATGATGATGTTCCCACACACGATTCAATTGCACTCATTCACATTTTTTTTTTGGTCCGCTCACCAAGTTCAAACCATGAAAACCAAATGACCGAATATCGTTGGGTAAAACTTCTCGACACTACATCATCCCGCGAAATTCTCCTTAAACTATTCACAAATTCCCAGCCAGAAATCATCTCTAGATTATCACCCGGTGACATACTGCATGCTACGAGATTAATATGCAAAAGTATTGATTACAATTCAATTACAAAGAGAGTTTTATATCTTCGCCCAACAATATGGAGTCAGTATTATATATTTGTGGAGACGAATAATGAGTGGAATGTGCCGGATGAAGTCGATTGGATTGATTCTGAGGTATGCATGGAATCGAGAGTAAAAAAAACATATAGAGGCTCATTCGTTGATTTTGATGATAATCGATTCTTTCCTTGGGTGATGTTTTAGGATATGTACTTGGTTCCTTTGTATACAGAGGTATTAAAGATGATTTCGTGTGGTACGTTGGATGCCATGTCGGAAACTTTATTCGTAGTATACACCATAATTGCAGATTTTTGTTAAAATATTCCGTATCTCTTTTTTATTGTGCAGTCGGCGGATATTTCAATCTTCCCGTCCCGTTTAAAACCGCCAAACAAATGATGGATCATTCCTCGTATATTCCTTGTGGAATCGAGTATGTACTTTTAACCTCTCATGTCACAAATGTATCAATAGATTATAATTAATTCCTACTCGTTATATAGTGCTCTATCAGAAAAGGCAAAACAACTCTCCGTCGGTGAACGATATCGATGTGTGGTCAAAGGTTCGTTATTACAAATAGAATTCGGTAATAACATTAAACTCTTCAAGGGAAAAATACTTTCCGTCGATCTATCGGACGATGCTAACAATTGGATACAGCGACCTGTGACTATGGCTGTCGAAATGAATCTATATCCCAGCGTGAGTACTGTTTCATTACTTTGTGTTTGTCTATCATAATTTAAACATTATTCACTTAATACCTAATGTCTTTTCTTATCCTTAGTCGCCAAATGAATCCATCGATATGTCAAAGATTTTCCCAATAACAGTATCGATTAGTGGAAAAGATAACAACAAAACGATCACAACATATATAATTCCATCGGCGTCTGATGAGGGATGCGGGCGATTTTTAAACGAGGGTGGCTTCGGAGAGTGGCATCTCAGGACATTAGTTGACTTATTTGAATTTGCCCTCATCGATGAGACAATGACTGAGAGCGACGATAAATATGAAATCTTCAAATCATGGAGTTACGTGGATTTATGCGAGGTGAGAGAATTGTAGAGGAAGCAGGCATGCGAGATGCATATGTAACATGTTTACTGATAAAAAATGAACGTACCTATATTTACAGAGATTGAATGCATTGAAGAATGAGCAATTGATATTTATGTTGGATATTGTGAGAACAAGAGCAGACGGTGTAGTCATTGTGCTCACAAAGATATTTCCTTGGAGCAATGAGTTAATTAAAAGGACAATGTAATGAAATGTAAATCTCCAATAGAACAAATACAATATTATATAGAGAACTTAGTGTATAAATGGACTTTATTTCGGACTCTTTGATACTTTATGAATAAAAAAACAACATATGTATAACAATTAGTTCAGTTCAAACTAAATATGTGATAATAATGGCATTACCTACCCAAACGCTTAAGTTGTCGCATCAAGTAATGACCGAAACAAGATTAATGTTCCCCATGATGTTTCTTTAGCTTGGAATTAAAGTAGGCTACAAAATTAAACATACTGTGAGTGTGAATGCACGAAAGTCAACGTGGATTCTCGAGAAAGCAGACAAAATACCTTTCGGATTACGAGGATCGGTGTCATACGGTGGATCTTAACACATAATAAGGAACGAGAGAGAGTTTAATATTAAGTGGTTTTAAAGCAGCTTCTCCCATAACGCTAGGGGCTCCAATTTGGACAGCCAAAGAATGGATTACTTACGACTTTGTGCTGCCGTTTCCAACTTCCAAACACCAACATAAATGACAGTGGCGGCGATTATAAATGGCGATAAAGGTTTAAGTATGGGTACTGGCCACTTGCGAAGGCCGAACAGCGTCATTTCTAATGCTCTCTACTTATTTATTTTAATCAAGTCTTTTTTTTTTTATTTCAACTTTTTGTATGACAGTTGTACAAAAGCAGCTCACGTCATGCTTTTTTTATAAATATTTGAGGATGCGAGTGACCCAGAAAATAAGTCTGTAAACCGAATTTCTTATGAATACAGTGAAAGAGTTGTTACATCCGATATGATAAAGACGACATACGTAACGAGAAGCAATTTGAGCTTTGAGATCATGTGGACGTATTTCAGTCTCGTAATTACCGATACATCTAATAAATCCTTCAATTTCGTAATTATCCAATGCGCGACATAATGACACCGCGTCTTGGAACGCAATGTTAGCGGCTGTAATATAATGAAAGATTTGCTTGTACAATGAACCATTCTTAAATCAGCGAAAAGAATTACAACTAATAAGTCTACTCACCCTGACCCCGAAAAGGCGACATTCCACAGATAGAATCTCCCAGCAAAGTCACCCGACTTGGCTTGCTCTCCTCTGGTATTCCTGCTACTTCATATAGTGCTCTCCTCACTGGCGGCACATAAGCCATACCGCCAACTTTCACATCTTTGGTTCTTGCCAGTTTCCATAATTCCAACAAAACATCGGTTAACTCGCCTCTTTTCCTCTTCATCAAAAAGTTAGTAATGTCTCTAACTACATCCGCCGGCGAGTCGACCGTGTAATTGGTTTCGGCAGAGGGAAACCCATATTGCAAGGTCATGCGATAAAAAGTAGCAGAATCTTGGGTGATTGAATGAAGTCGAGTGGTTACAAGAAGCGTGTGTCCATCAGGACCAAGGAAAACTGCAGCCTCGGCATGTTTTGCGAAAGCATGATAGCGTTTGGCTAGTGAGGCGGACACGAGAACATCTGTTGGAATTACGGTCACGCCAAGGTGTTGTTTATATGAGTTTGGAAATTTTTGCGATCTTACTAAAATCGTGTTTATGATCAAATGATGAATACTTTAGAAAACAACACAAACGCGAACGTCAACCTCGACGAAGCAACATTCCGTAAGATAATCATGACTTTTGCTCCCCTCGAATACCTATTGAATTGACTCCATCTGCTCCAATTAGCACGTCTCCGACTTCTTCTGTTCCATCAGCAAAGCAAACCCTGACGCCGTTTTCACTTTCTTCATATCCGATTATTTGTTTGCTCCATCTAACGTCCACGCCATCTAGCAATAAATTCCTCAAGTCTGGTCTATACCCCATTATCCACGCAGTTTTTTTCTCATCAATTTGTGCCAGCTCGTGTACATCTTTCGCCTGTTTGCCACCGAATACGACTACCTGTTTTCCTGATTCATCAATGACTAATGCTGAAGGGCATTCATTCTCAATGTGTGGTGGGAACACTTCGGATAATCGAGCAATGAGGTGCGGAGGCAGGAGACGGAGAAGAGCCTGGGCACCATAGTTATAGACTTGTATGTGATGGCCTTGCCATCGAGCTTTTGTGGTTGAATATTTATTAAGATGAGTATCTTGGGTTCTAACAAGCTACCGTTGATCGTTAGAAACAGATCGGACTTGCCTTGTGGTCCAGCATCTTTCTCAAACACAATTACTTTAAATTTTTTCGTTGGATGATTGAGTAGACCCTGCGCAAGCGCCAAGCCTGCTATACCGGCACCTGCGATCAGGATTCTTGGTGGCATTGTTGTGTGGGATATCGACATGAGCTTTGATGCCTGACTGTCAAAAGATTGGGTGGACCTATGCTGCACTGATGCTAATGTTATTACTATTTAAAGCTAAACACACAGAGTAAATAGAATTACAGCTCGTGTATGCCATATAAAGTAAGTTTTCTCGTTATTTCACGTGAATAACATTGTGCATTTGAATGATTAAAAGACAAGAATAGCACTTGTGGGCTCATGTGGTTAAAAATTTAGATAGTTTTACTTCGTGACAAAACGAATAATCTACAGAGCTAAAGGGCTGCTTTTTTGGGGCGAATGTCGAATTGCTAGCAATTATTGATCGGTACTATTATAGTACATATTTTTCTAAATAGAGAACAACTGGTAGAAATTGAGTGTATACATCGATTATCACGAGGCAGCTTTTCGAGTTTAAAAGCAAGCACAAAATTAATATCAAAGTCGTTGCTAGTCAGTTTTCAAGATTCGCGTTTAGCTGAATCGCTGCTGTAAATAATGTCTTGTCCTAACCGGTTACCTGAACTATGACTTGTTGAATAAAATATGGAAGAGTATTTCTCACTTGATTTGATTACACATTTTTTACTTGTGTTTAAAAGAGCCATGTTCTCAAAATGATAATATTTTTCCGACTGTCTTGTATACTGAATTTACAATTAATGCTTAGAAACAGGCATCGTTTTTACGTCTCAATGCGGAACAGGGCTCTTCTTCAACTCAAGCAAATTTCTTAGCAACAGCTATCTCGTCTTGTGAATCTATTGACAAATATAAGTTTTATGTCTGGTGTACAGACAACCTTAATTCAGGCAACAATAAGTGAACGCTTTAGAAATAATAAAACGAAAGAAATAATAATAAAAAGCGAGATCTTTGTCGAAATGAGAGATTGGTTGCAGTGATCTCATCTGCGTCATCAAGTGTTAACAAAACATGCTAATAGTAAAAGCTGCCATGTGTATTACAGCAGTCATTGATTAATTATAATATCGACTTGGAGCGTCGATTCTTTCATAATGACGATCGGAAATTTTTACGCGTGGTTTGTAAGTCACGTGGTTTACGGGATTGGTCGGCAAGACTGACGCGTAATGTGGTCCGAGCAAGTGCCTCTTTCGATAAAAAAGTCGGGCCCAACAACTTCTTTTTTATACGGTGCTACCTCAGAAATATCAACCGTTTCCTACATTTACGAAATGAAAATCAAGAAAATGAAGAATATTGTCGGATCTATTCTGCCGGTCAATTAATTGCTTAGTAATTCGGAATGCATAATGACGTTCACTATTGTAATGCCAGAAATTGTCAAACAAATTAAAAATTGTCGAGTGAAAGAAATCTTCGCCATAAGAAAAATAACGTCTACAATAGACAGAATACGTTAAATGATTTTATAATCAGTTTAAATGCTGATACCATAACGGCACTAGTATCAGAAAGTATACATTACGTATAGGATAATATATTCGTACTCAATAGTTTGTTGAATTGAAGAGCTCAAATTGTTACAATATAGAATAAGTGCTAGCTATACAGAATTTATTGAATTATCAAACATAATAAAATAAATAGCTCTATGTTGTTATCCACAACGTCAAATAGTAAAGAAGCAAATCGATAAGCTAGTTTGCAAAGTTATTTACAATTTATTAGATGTGCATTAGGTGTTGGAAGTGAATTATCAGCAAATCTTATAATTCAGTATTAGTGAACGCTTTAAGGTTTAACAAACAAACAAACGCGCGTACGCGTGTAATTTGTCATTTAAATAAAAACCCCTATTCCCTCAAACAAACGCCATCGAACTATCCATCCTTTCTTCTCTCTCTCCCGCTTTTTTGTTTACACCA